TGGAAATTCTTTGATACTCTTCCTATTTAAAAAATTCAATTTTATTTTTTAAATATATTTTATTGATTATGCTATTATAGTTGTCCAATTTTTTTCTCCCTTTTATTCCCCTCTGCCCTGTACCCCCCCACCATCATTCCCTCCCTTAGTTCATGTCCATGGGTCGTACATATAAGATCTTTGCCTTCTCCATTTCCCCTACTATTGTTAACTTCCCTCTGTCTATTTTGTGCCTACCATTTATGCTTCTTATTCCCTGTACCTTTCCCCCCATTCTCCCCACTTCCCCTCCCTGCTGATAACCCTCCATGTGATCTCCATTTCTGTGATACTTTTTCTGTTATAGTTATTTGCTTAGGTTGTTTTTGGTTTTGGTTTAGGTTCAGTTGTTGGTTGTCATTTTACTGTTCACAGTTTTGATCATCTGCTTTTTCCTAGATAAGTCCCTTTGACATTTCATATAATAAGGGCTTGGTGATGATGAACTCCTTTAACTTGGCCTTATCTGCGAAGCACTTTATCTGTCCTTCCAGTCTAAATGAAAGCTTTGCTGGATAGAGCAATCTTGGATGCAGGTCCTTGTCTTTCATGACTTGGAATACTTCTTTCTAAGCCCTTCCTTCCTGCAAGGTTTCTTTTGGGAATCAGCTGCTAGACTTATGGGCATGCCTTTGTAGGTAACTGTCTACTTTTCTGTTGCTGAGAATCTTTCAAGAATCTCTTGTAATGTTTAATCTTTGCTAATGTAACTATGATGTGCCTTGGTGTGTGCTTCCTTGGATCCATCTTCTTTGGGATTCTCTGAGCTGCCTGGACTTCCTGGAAGTCTATTTCCTTTGCCAGATTAGGAATGTTCTCCTTCATTATTTTTTCAAATAAGTTTTCAATTTCTTGCTCTTCTGTTCCTTCTGGCACCCTTATGATTCGGATGTTGGAACATTTAAAGTTGTCCCGGAGGTTCCTAAGCCTCTCCTCATTTTTTTGAATTCTTGTTTCTCCATTCTGTTCTGGTTGAAAGTTTATTTCTTCCTTCTGCTCCAAATCATCAATTTGAGTGCTAATTTCCTTCCCTTCACTGTTGGTTCCTTGTATATTTTTTCTTTATTTCACTTTGCATAGGCTTCATTTTTTCCTCCATTTCATGACCATACTCAATCATTTCTGTGAGCATCCTGATTACCAGTATCTTGAAGTTTGCATGTGATAGGTTGGCTATCTCTTCATCACTCAGTTCTATTTTTGGGGCTCTGATCTGTTCTTTCATTTGAGCCATATGTTTCTGTCTCAGGAACCTGTCACATTTTAAGGAGCAGAGCCTTAGGTATTCTCAGGGCAGACCAACCCATGTGGGCACTGTCTGTGGGGGTGAGGCTAGAGAGGGAGCAATGCCGCTTGATCGGCTCTCAGCTGGCTTTCACTCACTTCCCTCGCTACCCACAAGGAAATTGGGCCCCTCTGGTGCTGATTCCTGGGTGGGTGGGTTTGTGTACATTCTAGGACCCTGTGAGTCTCTCCAATGAACTCTCCTGTGAGGCTGGGAGTTTCTCCTGCCACTGCAACCTTACACAGGTTTTTAACAGCCAGAGGTTTTGAGGCTTGATTTCCCCATGCTGGAACCCTGGGTTGTGTGGTCTGTCTCACTCTCCAGTTGTTCCTCCCAGTTTATGTAGGAACACAGATGTGGGAACTCTCAGTCCACCAGCCAGTGCCTTACCTGCCCTGTCTGCCAGCCACCACCTTGCCAAGCATCCTCTCTGCCCTGGTTGCCCTCTCTGTCCCTGCTACCCATCTCCACCCCTCCGACCAGTCTGGATGAGTGTTTCTTCTTTAACTCCTTGGTTGTTGGACTTCCATACAGTTCGATTTTCTGGCAGTTCTGGTTATTTTTTGTCTTTAAATTTGTTGGTGTCCTTCTTTTGGTTCTGTGAGGAGGCAACATGTATCTACCAATGCCTCCAACTTGGCTAGAAGTCCCTGTATATATATTATAATTTTTAAAAATATTTTTTATTTATTTTTAGAGAGATGGGAAGGGAGGGAGAAAGAGAAGGAGAGAAACATCAATGTGTGGTGGCCTCTCATGTGGCCGCCCTGGGGACCTGTCCCACAACCCAGGCATGTGCCCTGACTGGGAATCGAACCAGCGGCCCTTTGGTTTGCAGCCTGCACTCAATCCACTGAGCTACACCAGCCAGGGCTATATCATAATTTTCTATGTGTACATTAAAAACTAAGCATGGAGAACATAAAGATAAATATTTACTATTTTTCAGTAATGTTTAACATCATGTCATTTTCAATGCAGTACTTTATTAAATCTCACTAAACGTCCAGATGCATGTTTAAAGGTTCATCTGAAGTTTCTTACTAAATAAATAAAAACAAAATTTCACAGATCCTTTTGGGAAAACACTTACTTTTCTTATCATGGTAAAAATGGTCATACTAAATCCACGTGAAACAGTATGGTGATAAATTAGAATCCATTTCTTTTGCAGCAAATACTACCGGAAGGCATCTAGAAAATATTGCTGAAGAATTGAACAAATAGTATTGGAATAAATGATATAATGTGGGAAGTTTGATGTACAGCTGAATAAAATGTTTCTAATGTTTTCATTTTTTGTATTTGCTAGATTCCATTCTAATAATAATATCCACAAAGAACTACTTTCTTAGGGGCTACTAAAGGAATGATGTAAAGGAGAACATATAGTGTGAACAAAATGACTGGTTTAATTTTTTAAATTGTCTTAGAGAAAAAATAGGAAACACACTACAAAGTAGTGCTTTGAGAGCAATTTTTCAAAAGATGGGGGTGGATTTCAAGGTAAACTTACTGAGAAAGTTGGCAAGCTATTACAGCAAAGATAGTGAAGCCTGATAGATGCAAAGTGCAATAGGATTCATCAATATGGTATAGACATTAGACTTCTGATATACAGTAATACCTTAACAGTATTTTGTAACAAGGCAGGGAGTGACACTTCCTTTGCCACTTTGGTACCACACAGAAGTTAGCTGGCTATTTTGTGGCAACGTCCTTAAAAGAGTTTCAAATGAGGCCCTGGCCAGGTGGCTCAGTTGGTTAGAGCATCATCCTGCTATGCCCGTGTGGTGGGTTCGATCCCCAGTCAGGGCACATATAAGAAGCAACTAGTGAATGCATTAAGTGGAACAACCTTCCTCTCTCTCTAAAAAAAAATCAACCAATAAATTTAAGAACTTTTTAAAAGACTTTCAAACTAAAAGATACACTTTTACAGACCACAAAGAAAAGTGCCCATTAGCAGTCACTCTCCATTAGCCCTTTCCTTCTCCACCCCACCTCCCAGCCTAGGCAACCACTAACCTACTTCTTGTCTCTAATGTATTTCCCTCTTCTGGACATTTCATATAAATTGAATGAGATAATATGCAGCCTTTTGTGTCTGGCTTTCAAGATTCATCCATGTGGTAGCATATATCATTATTTAATTCATTTTTATGACTAAATAATTTTCCATTGCATGGATATACCACATTTTGTTTATTCATTCATTTGTTGATAACCATTGGGTTTCTTTCTACCTTTTGTCTATTGCAAGTACAGCTACTATGAACTTCCATGTCTGATAATGCATGTTTAATGATTGCCACAGGGCCTGGCAGACAATACCAGCAGGTAGCTGGTAGCAGGTTATCCTTATTATTAGGGAGTGTTCCATTGGGCAATTTGGGTCACAGGCTATCTGGATATCAGAAACAAAAAGCAGAAGGCATCAAGGACAACAAGTACATATTGCAGTGTTGCTGAGAGTTGTCTCTGACCATCATACCCAAATGAGGAAGGCAGTGTGGCACAGAGCAGTGAGTTTCAACCTTTTTCATCTCATGGCACACATAAACTAATTACTGAAATTCTGTGGCACACCAAAAAATATATATTTTGTAGATCTGAGCAAAAATAGGTATAGTTTTGATTCATTAACACCAAATGGCTATTGTTGTGCTGGTTGTTGTCATTTTTCTATTTGACAATCTAAGGGAAAAGAGGTCAGTGCCCCTGACTAAATAGTCAGGTAGTGCAGATTTTTAAAAATCTTGCAACACACTGGCTGAAAATTACTGACATAGAGGCACAAGCACAGACTCTACCACTTTTGAGCTGTGTGCCTCTAGGCAAGTCCCTTAACCTCTCTTAGCCATCTGTGTGAATCGGATATATTGTCTTTTCTGTTTACTTCACATGCTTGCTACCTGGATCAAAGAGATAATTTAAAAATATAAAAGCACTTTGAAAAACCATAATAAATTATTATTCCAAGTCTGACATGTTACAGACTCCAACTCCTCTTGACTAAAGTGGAAACAGATCCTTCTTCTCACCATCCTCCTCTCTCCAGATTGTTCACATCCTCTTCAAGATGACACCCTGGCCTCCTCACCACAGCCCCTGATGCTAGTACCTCCTTCCTTGCATCTACTTAAGGGCCAATGGTGAGCGGCCCCATCCTGGTTAAAAATTTGAATTCACATCAACGAAGGGTTTGCAAGGGTTTTTCTCCTAAACTGAAATCTGTGCTAACTCTCCAGTTTTCTCAATCTCTAGTTGCCTAGAGCGCCCTCGTGTGTCTCCATGTGGTAATACTTTAGGTTTTTTTCCAGGACGTGACATTCTTTCATTGAAGTCTCAATAAAATGTGTAATCGAAACTTTTTTTCTCGTCACACTTCAGGGCCCATGCTTCACACTTGGACTCTAGCTAAGCCATTGCATCCGGGTCTTTTACAGGTCAGGCCTGAAGATTTCTTTCTGCTCCCTGTACACCTCTTTCTCCTTAGTCATTTTGAGAAATCCTGGTGTCTTGGTTCACAGATGTCATCTTGGTCCTGCCACCTCTATTATTGCAATCTTACTTAGCTCCCAAAGTAAGATCGAAACTTTTTTTTCCTAAAAAGTACATCACAGTTTACTGAAGGACTGGGGGAAACGGTAATTCCAAGGTATTAGGAAAGAATTTTTTAAGTGTTTATTAAACATGAAAGATATTCACAATGGTAAACTTTTCACAGGAGTCTTCCCATGTAAAGCCTTGGCACTTGGAAAGGATAATAGGACAACTGCAGACAGTGACATCCGGCAGTGTGTGTGTGTGTACGCACACACACTCAAACATATACTATCACACACACACTTACAGACTCATAACTACACACTCTGTTGCTCAGTGGGAACCGAACCTTCTCTCTTGTGGCCTGCTCTCTGACCAAGAATCATGTGATGCTGTCAGCACAGGTCTTTGGAAGAAGGAAAATTTATCTTTTATATCTGGAACTTCAAGAATGTTCCCTGTTCCCTCCAGCAGTGCAGATTATATTGGAAGCCTGAAACTCATTACTTCCCATTTCTGCCCTTGTCTGTTTGCATCCCCAGATTTTTCAGGATCCATAAGCCTCATTGGCAAACTCCACTGAAAGCCAAAGACATTTGTGCCTTTGGTTTTCCCCACAGGACCATGTTCCTGAAAAGCTGCATGTAAATTAATTTTTTGCAGAACAATTATGATTCCCCACTGACTTCCAATAAGATTTCTGAGCTGCTTTCTCTTCATCAAGATTGATTTTCCGCCATGGCTGGTGTGGCTCAGTGGATTGTGCACTGGCCTGTGAACCAAAGGGTCACTGGTTCGATTCCAGTCAGGGCACATGCCTGGGTTGCAGGTGGGTCCCCAGTGTGTGTGTGTGGGGGGGTGCATAAGAGGCAACCACATATTGATGTTTCTCTTCCTCTCTTTCTCCTTCCCTTCCCCTCTGTCTAAAAATAAAGAAATACAATCTTTAGTAAAGAAGATTGATTTTCAATGTACACCCAACACTTCAGCTTTAAGTTCCTCTGCTTCCTGCCACCCTCTCTGACAGTTACTTAAACCTCATCTGGAAAATGAAGAACTGACCAATGGAGCATTAAGATCTCTTCCAGTTCAAACAGTCCAGGGTCTGAAAACAAACATCTAAATACCTTGGAGATGCTGCCATTTGGAAAAGACACCAGGCACCACCATTTCAAATGCAAATACCCTATATCTACCCCACTCCCAGGTATCTGATTCCAGATACCCTCTCTACTGAAACAGAGATGGGTGCCAGGATTCTGGGGAACTCTGTATGCAGCTGGTAGCCTAGGGTAGGAAGCACTTGCCAAGAAAAGATTAAGTCAGTTACTAGGGAGGCATTGTGGCTTTGGCCTCTGGCAACAGAGTTAAGAAAGGGCATGTGTGTCGTGGGTCTGTGGTACTGGTCAAGTAACTACCTTTGCAGTCTATGAACCAGAGATATTATTAAGTGCTGATAGGGAAGGGCAATGCCTACTTACTGGTGAGGAAAATTAATAGCCCAAGCATTCTTCCATCCTGCATTCTCCATGTTGGCATTTTGATTTAAAAAATATTGCTGCAGCTGTTTGCATATTCTGGAAGTGTGTGTGCATGCGTGTGGTTTGGTGTTTACAGATTTGGGGTTGTGGAGGGGAGTTTCCAGAGCAACGGAAGTAACTGCTTGTCAGTCAGGGTTCATTTTGAAAATGAAAGCCTGAAAGCTTGGGGCCCACTCTGGGCCTGGGCCTAGTCTCTGAGGAGTCAGCAAAGGCCAAGAGGTGGCTTTGACTAGTAAGCTCAGTGAATAAACTACTGATCACTACTAGTTTTTTAATGAATTGACCAAATCTATGACTTGCTTTTAGTGTCCTACAGATTCAGTCCAAGGCAGGAATGTGGGGGTAGGCATAAAGGTTCTGGCTGCAGATGCACCTCACCAAACACACACACACACACAATGCTCCCCACCACACATACACACAGTCACATTTTCTCAGGCTGCCAAACCAGAACAAGGTAACAAATTTTGCTTGCACACCTACTAGGTGCACAAGGATACTGCGACATAGTCATCAAAGAGTTTAAATTCGCATGTCAGAGCAAGGGGAGAGAAATACAACATAAGGCAGTCTGTGCCAGATGCCAAGGCTGTAATACAAACAGATTGTGAGAGGGAGAAGGATCACTCTGGGCTGGGGTCATCGGAAGTACCTTACTGGAGAAAGTGGAAACCGAGGCCAACCTGAAGGACAGGAAGAAGAAATTCACTAGACAGAAGCTGTGAGGGAGGACATTCTAGGGGAGGGGAGGGAAAGTTTAAGATGTACTCAGGTTAGGACAAGTCCATCCGTTTGGCTGAAACTTGGAGTTTGTGTGAGTGATTTGCAGCCAATAAGCCGGGCTTGAATATCAGTACCTCAGTGCCAGAACAAAGACTCTGGTGTCACACAGACCTGCTCCGCCACTTCCTGCTGGGTGACCTTGGGCAAGTGGCCTAACCTCTGAAAACTGAGGATAATAATGATATGTAGCTCTTGAGGTCATTGGGAAGATTAGAAGTGTTGCATTTACCACAGTGTCTGGCACATAGTAAATGTTCAAAACTGGATTACAAATGAATAGACTGTCATGAAGATATTTAGGAATGATCCCAAATATTTGAGGGCCAAGGCAGAAAAGCCTCTGATATCTTCTATCACTGTTGGGCCCAGTAGAGTGGGCTGACTTGGCCTGAGCCTCCATCCCCTCTGGCCTGCACTGTTGGAACATCCTCCTGGCTTCCTGACTCTGCTTCTCCCATAATCATTTTCCTAAATACCACCTTATTCATAGCTGTGTCCCTCTCTGCCTCAAGAACCTTCTATGATTCCCAGTTGCTCTCTGACTGAACTTCCTAACATGGGAATGGGACCAGCAGGAGGCAAGAGCTATCATTTATATATCATTGAGGGAAGGAAAGAGCAAAGAGGAAGCCAGTGTTAGCAGTATAAAGAGATAAAATATCCTCCTCTTTTAAAAGTCCTTAAGCTCTGAATTCGCAGAAATCAGCAGGTCCCTGAGGGAGAGAGCAGAACACATCTTTGAAGAGGGCACGGCATTCCTTGGCCACTGACTCATTAACCTGCACCTGCTTCTTCAAGCCAATGTGGGAGAGGTTAAAAAGGATAGAAGAGGTTGGAGCAGGGACCTGCGAGGAGATAAGGGAATACCCCTTCTTGGTTCCTTGGAAAGGGTCTGCCTGGGTTTCTGTCTTGGATTTCTCTGCAGGAATCCCGTGTAGCTTCCAGCTTGGGGCGCTGCGGGAAGGGTCTAGGCTGCACAAAGGGCAGAGCAGGCGAGCTGGCGTCACCTAGGGCAGTCAGGCCGCCTCCGTGAAAGCTAGGCGCGGGACAAAGGCTGCTCCAGGACAAAGTACAGGGAGACTCCTAAGAAGATAAGAGGGACGGGCAAAGGAAGGCGGTGGGGAGCGAGTGGCCCAGGAGCCTCGGTTGGCAGCCGAGCCCAGCCCGCTGGGGAAGGGGCGCCCAGGAGCTTCTTTATCTCTGCAGCTGCTGGGATGCGGAGAACTGCTGCTGGACTGCTCCCGGCAGCGTAGGGAGCCAGTTGCAGCCTTTCCCCGCGCCCGCGGGACTGCTGCCCTTGCCAGCCGGGAGGCGGGGCTGCCCAGCTCACCTGGCCAACTGGGGCGGGGCTGCCCACTACCTAGGTGGAGGAGGCGGCGGCGGTACCCGGTGTGCGGGAGACAAGCTTGTCCTGGGAGTCAGCAAGAGCTCCCACCCCTCCACACCCCCCACGCCAGCGCCGGCCCTCCCTCCGCTCCTTCGCTCTCTCCCTCCCTCCCCTCTCCTCCCCTCACTTGCTCCCTCCCTCCCTCCCTCGGAGCCCAATTGCTCAAGCCGCTTCCTTCCCCAGCGCCAGTTCCTCTCCTAGTGGGGCCCGGGAAGGGCCTTCAAAGCTAGAAACGCGGACCGCGGCAGTGGAGCTGCAGGACCATGGCCGAGCCCCGAGTGGCAGCGATCTCTGCGCCCAGGGCCTCTCCGGCACCGAGCGCTCAAAGTCTACGGAGCGTCCGGCAGCCCCGCCCCTCGAGTGTGGACTACCGCAGCCTGGCCAGGTACCGCGGCAGCGCCGCCTTCTCCCGGGAGCTCCCCTTCCACGGCTCGCTGACGTGTTCTGGAGCGGGCTCGGGACGCCGGCGGGGCGCTCTGCGGGAGCTGCTGGGGCTGCAGGGGGGAACTCCCACCGGGTGGCAGTCAGAGGAGCGCGCGGAGGAGCGGTCCCCGGGCGGGCCGAATGCAGTGGGCAACAGCAGGCTGTGCCTGGAGCCCCGGGAGCACGCGTGGATACTGGCTGCCGCTGAAGGCCGTTTTGAGGTGCTGCAGGAGCTCCTGGAAGCTGATCCTGGACTGCTCCTACGGGGTGATCCGATCACCGGCTACTCGTTGCTGCACTGGCTGGCCAAGCACGGGCGCCACGAGGAACTCATCCTGGTGCACGACTTCGCCCAGCACCGGGGGCTGCGACTCGACGTGAGCGCCCCGGGGAGCGGCGGCCTCACGCCCCTTCACCTGGCGGCCCTGCAGGGCCACTACATGGTCATCAAAGTGCTGGTGGGCGCCTTGGGAGCTGATCCCACACGCCGAGACCACAGCGGCCACCGGGCCTGTCATTACCTGGGGCCCGACGCACCCTGGACTCTGCGGGAGTTATCGGGGGCCGAGCAATGGGAGATAGAGCAAGGCAGTGAGAGGAGCAACGCCAACAACAACAGCAGCGGCGCCACTGCCGCGTGGACGCCTCGAAGGACTCTGAACGCAGTGGGCGCTACGGCTGTGGAGACCACGGCGAGAGAAACGGCGTTACACCGCAAGGAGAAAGACTCCACGGGCAATCGAGTGGCGCAAATTCAAGGCTTTTTTCGCCAGATGTTCCCCTTCTTCCAGGACCGTTGAGGATGACTTAGACATGAGCGCAGGTCCGCAACACCGCAACAAGGCCTCGGTCCTGGGCTGTCCAAGGTTCCACTGAGGGGGTGGTGCCTCGGATGCGGCTGAGTGCGCTGGATCTGCAAAGAGCGGACAACCTCGGGTCTGTCTCAAGTAGCTGTCACAGGTCTTCTGCAGCCAAAGACCAGGACAACCGGGGACCAGCCCCCGACCCAACTGAGGCAGAGCAAAGACCAATCTGTCCTGGCGCCCAGTCCCCAGAGGAGTTGGAGTTAGGAGCAGGAGCTTGGTCCTGCGTGGGAGAGGGAAAGTTAAGTTTCCAGTAGCCATTTACCTGGCAGAAGTTCTGGCTTCTTAGGAAACATTTGCTAGAAAAATGAGCTAAGACTGTAAACCATTGATGCAGAGGAAGCGCCTAAATGCAGGCTTGACTTAGCTGTTAATGGGTCATTTAGTGCTGCCAGAGTCAGCGACCCTGGCTCCCGGTTCCTGAGACAACCAGGCCTCACTGGTACCTTATCAAATATATCACTGATGACTTCTTAAGCACATTAAAGTGGAATTCTGTTTTCGTTTCACATGACAAAGCTGTCCTTTGAGCTATTTTTTTCATTAACCGCCAAGAGGGAAGTTTCCTACATTTGCAGGGAAGAGGGCCCCCACCCATGGCTGGGAGCTAGTGATCCATGACAGGCTGTGGACATCATTCTCAGAGCAAATGGCTGAGCTGTGCACTGAAGGAGCTACTTACATCTTGAAGCTCAGACTCACAATTTGTCTATTGGGCTCTTAAGCATCTAGGCCTGGTCCAGTTCTCCTAGAAGAGCTGTGCATAGGGGGGAAGAAGGGTGTAAAAGGGGAAAGCCTCCAAATGCACAGTTCTGATACTTTGTGGTGAGTCATGTCATTTACCCAGACTCCTGCCCTCCAGCGAGACACCCTCACTGGCATTTTTTTTTTTTTGAGATAGGGCTTTAATCATCAGCATTTGTGTGTGTGTTTTTTTAATTATACTTAATATGTAAGTTGTAGTTTGGAAAATTGTTCCCATTTAGAAGTAATATGAATGGAGTAGAATACAGGGTGGGTGACTTGAACTGAAAGGTGGGGAAAGCAGTTGGAGGCTAGGACTCCAGGCTGCCTTAGAGAACAGTGTATTTTAAAAATAGTGCTGTACCCCTGGAGGCCTGGGCAGCCCTTGTGTCCCCGGCCCTCCTCGAACACCAGGGAGAAATCGAGTCATCACACAGTGCAGAAACACCACCTTGAACCTATCCATCCAGCTTTCCATCTCTGTCTGGTGGGCCTATTTGCCTTCTTTTATTACTCCCTCTGTGCCCGGAAATAGTCCCACCTTCCCTTAATAACCCATTAGATTCTTCTCATCCATGAAATTATCCAAACCCTTCCAATTGATGTTTTCAGCCTGTCTCATGCCTCTAGGAACTACACCTTAAAATATTTATACAATGTAATATAGCATTTCCTTTTTCTTGTTAATGAACACCAGTGTTTGAAGTGGAGAGGGTGAGCTATTCCTAGCTTTCTGGTATTTGGCAACAGCAGCTGGCATAACTCCTCTGAACTTTTTCTGCCCATTTTATAGGTAGAAATCGGCTAACTGATGCAAGACTGAGGTTTCTGCTCTACAACTTCCCCCTTGACAGCTGCCAAGGTGGGTTGGGCTTGGTGAAGGATGCCAGGGCAGGGGCTAGGGCCTTCCTTCCACACAGCTGAGTCTGCAGGTTCCTGGCTTGAAGACAAGATTGGCATGTGCCTTTGCCCAACATTCAAATGGCACTTACAACACTATTCCCCTCTTCATAGGCAAAGTTTGAACCTAAGCGTCTTAACTAATAGCAGATTTGGGGACCTGAGACCAGCATGCGCCTTACTCTTTCCAAAATGAAAACCAAGTCAGCTAGAAGATTTGAAAGCAACTTTCTATAGTTTTTTTTCCTGTAGTCAGCTATTCTTCCCCACAGATTTTTCTCATCATGTGATATTGCCTAGCCTACCTCCTCCATGTAAGATTGAGGTTTGGCTGCAGGGGATGAACTCCCAGGCTGAAAACTCTCCATGCCTAACTTCAAGCCATTGGCATTTCTGGTATGCTTTTCGAGGCAAGGCTGGTATGCTTACCCCAAGAGAAAGAACAAATTCCCTGAGAAACTTTCCAGGGGAGCAAAGCAGAGTTAAGCAGACGATGCGAATCTGCATTCTAGTGGGGCATGCAGACAAGAAAAGGAGACAGACCACTGCCTGATTTGGCTCAGTTGGTTGGGCGTCATCCCAAAAGCAAAAGGTTTCGAGTTCAATTCCCACTCAGAACACATGCCTGGGTTGTGGGTTTGGTCCCGTTAGGGGGCATGCAACAGGCAACCGATCGATGTTTCTCTCACATCAGTGTTTCTCTCCCTCCCTTCCCCTATGTCTAAAAATAAACAAAATCTTTTTAAAAAAATAATAAAAGGAGCCCTGGCTGGTGTAGGCCAGTGGATTGAGTGCCAACATGCAAACCAAAGGGTCACCGGTTCAGTTCCCAGTCAGGGCACATGCCTGGGTTTCAGGCCAGGTCCCCTGTGGTGGGGGGGGGTGCATGAGGGGCAACCACACACTGATGTTTCTCTTTCCCTTTCCCCTCTCGCTGAAAATAAATAAATAAATAAATAAAATGTAAAAAAAAAAAACCCCTCTCATTCCTTTAAAAAGTAAAAATAAAAAAATACAAGGAGACAGAAGCAGGGCTGTGACATGTAAACAGGAGGAGTGGGGTGCTGCTCAGAGGGTGGGGCCTGACTGAGGCTGAAAGGTGCTGGAAATGCTTTCAGGGGGGAAGGTAATTCCTGATCTGAGGCAAGGGTGAGTGGGAGATGGTCAGTTGAGAAGGGGGAGGGGCCCCCTGGAAGAGCCACTGGAGTGTGTATGGGCGGGTACAACACGTATCAGGAAATGTAAGTCAGCTTGTTTGGCCAGAAGGTGGGAGGTAGGGAGTAATTAAATGGCAAATCTGGAGAAGTCAGTGCGGGTCCACATCACGAAGGGTCCTAGGTCATGCTAAAAGAGGAACACGGATTTTCACCTAAAGGTAGCAGAGAGCCATAGGTTTCCAAGAGGAGTAACATGAGATTTTAGAAAAAGCACTCTGCCAGTCTAGTAGAGGATGGATGTGCCAGGGGAGACAACTTGGGGGAAACACATCACACAAGCAGTGTTTCTTGGGGGGGGGGAACCTTCCAGAAAAGTCATACTTCAGCTGAGAAGTTCAAAGACCTATGGAGGTCAGCGGCTTTCAAATTTGTTTTTTTTCTCCATAGCCTTTGATCTAATAAAGCTTGCCTGACCTTGAAGCCTCATGTATAAAATTGACAAATGTAGAGCTGCTCAGATTGAAACTGGGTCTCAGACTCTGCACCCTCTGCCTCTGCCTTAGACAGACAGTCCACACAGTGACCCTAGAAGCAAAATTCAAACCCACTGGTGTGGTGGGAAGCTCTCAGCCTAACCTGGGTTCCATCCTGACTACAGACTAGTGAATGGCCTTGAGCAAATCACTCTGAGTTGCAATTATCTTATCGGCAAAATGGGAACAATACAATCTTGCTTGAGGTTTGTCGCGAAGATTGGAGATAAGGGCAACACCTAGCACTGCCTCGGGACACACAGGATATAGGAAATGACAGCTATTGTTTGGAAGAATTGAAAGGTGCTCAGCAGGCTGTTGTGGTGAAGCTATTTTACCTGCTAGCCTAGTGCAGGAAGAATCTAATCATCACTGTATTATCCTGTCTCTAAAATGTGTCCACACTTATTGCAAGTTATTTTCTCTCTGAGCCAGATGAGTGGCTGTTCCTCACAGAAGATGTTGGTTCTTTTGCTGATTGGTGTTCTTCACAAGCTACATTCTTTTACTTTAGACGTAATTGTAACAAGCTGCATTTCCTTATTCTCAGCCCACAGAAGTAAAAGCAGCAACTTAATAAGTGCATATCAAATATTAATAGGTTAGATATTGTTCCCAGACAAAGTCATAAACTGGAGTCAGAGCTAAACCTGAAATCCTCTGAAGAGAATAAAAGCATACAAGTCCTTTGTCTCCTGATCCTAATACCTGTGGAAAGGTCTTTCTCCCATTCCAGCCAACAAACCCTATATTCCACATCCAGCCTCCTTGTCTTCCCTCTTTCCAGTTCATTTTAATGAAGGAGGATGCCTATCTCCTTTCAAGATATAACTCATGCTCTCAGCCTCGTCTCCTCTTTCCTGTATTTTCAAGCTCACCCTCAGTTTAGTTCAGTGCAATAACATTTATTGAGTGCCTACTAGGAGGCAAACTCTTTGGGTGACAAACAGGCCAACTCTTTAAATTTTGTTTTTTATTGATTTTAGAGAGAGGAAGGGAGAGAGGAAACATCAATTTTATTTGCTTATTTTTAGAGAGGGGAAGGGAAGAAGAGAGAGAGAGAGAGAGAGAGAAACATGGATGTGTGAGAGAAACAGCAGTTGGTTGCCTCTTTCAAGTCCCCAACCAGGGACCTGGCCCACAACCCAGGCATGTGCCCTGAAAGGGAATTGGGAATTGACCTGGCAACATTTCAGTTTGTAGGATGACACTCAACCCACTCAGCCACACGGGTCAGGATGAAACATCAATTTGTTGTTCCACTTATTAATGCATTCATTGGTTGATTACTGTATGAGCTCTGACCAGGCATCAGACCCACAACCTTGGCACACTGGGAGGATACTCTGACCAATTGAGCTACCAGCCAGGGCTTTCCTCACCTCTTTTTTTTTTAGAGACTTTATTCATTTATTTTTAGAGAGAGGGGAAAGGAAGGAGAAAGAGAGGGAGAAACATCAATGCGTGGTTGCCTCTGATGTGCCCCTTACTGGGGACCTGGCCTGCAACCCAGGCATGTGCCTTAGGCTGGGAATTGAACTGACAACCCCTTGGTTCACAGGCCCATCCATGCTCAATTCACTGAGCTATGCCAGCCAGGGAGCTTTCCTCACTTCTTAATCACATCTCAACTCTATGTATGCATTCTGGTTTCTGCCTCCATTATCCCAGTGCAATTGATTCCTCCTCGAAGATCTCCCTTGCTGACCTCCCATCTGCCAAATGCAAGTCCTTATGTTAGTTCACTTCTTGGCCTCACTGGCCAATATTGGCTACTTTTTCCTCCTTGAAACTCTCTTCTTTAGTCTTCAATGAACTACAGTTTTAATTCCTGGTGTTTATCAGGCTGAATTCCCAGAAACTTTTCTCTTCACTCTATATTCTCTCCCTGAGTTATTTCATCCCTTCCCTGCTTACCCTTCCTCACTCTGCTCCAGCTGAAACCGGAAAAGCCCAAATTGTGCTGTCACATACCAAACCCAATAAGCACAGCCAGAGATTGAATCTTTATGGGCGCTTTATTCAGATGGCCAGTGACCTGAGACGACTGTGGGTTTATACCCTGTGGGTTCATACCGTAATGACAATCTTAAATTCCATTTTAAAATATCCCTTTTTATAAGGAGAACTAAGTGTAGGTAAGGGGTTTGGAATTCACAGAGAAGTTAATTGGATTAAAA